GGTAATGTTAACAAAAAAAAAATGGTAATCTTGCGTCAAATAATGGGTAATCTTACCAAAAAAGTTGTATTGTTACAAAATAAAAGTGATATGTTACACTCAAAAAATTGTATTTTTACACCCAAAAAAATTGAATTCTAAGTCCAAGAAAGTTGTATTCTAACCCCAAAAATGGTAATGTTAACATAAAAAGTGATAATATTTCCCTCAAAAATGGTAATCTACCTAAAAAAATAGTAATCTTACCCTAAAAAGGAATAATCTTGCCTCAAATAAATGGTAATCTTATTAAAACAGTGGTATTTTTACAAAATAAAGGTGATAATGTTATACCCAAAAAGTTGTACTCTTACACCCAAAAAAGTTGTAATCTAAGCCAAAACATGTTGTATTCTAACCCAAAAACAAAATGGTAATGTTAACCAACAAAAGTGGTAATGTTGTCTCAAATAATGGGTAATCTAACCTCAAATAATTGGTAATCTTACCAAAAAAAGTGATAATATTACACCAAAAAAGTTGATACGTTTACCTCAACACGGTCATCTTTCCTCAAAAAATGGTAATCTTCTCAAAAAAAATGGTAATCTAACCCAAAAAACATGATAATATTGCCTCAAAAGATTGGTAATCTTACCAAAAATAGTGGTATTCCAACCAAATAAAATTGAAAATGTTACACCCAAAAAGTAGTATTCTTTATATGTAAAATGAGCTTGGTTCTTGTGGAAATACAGTTGCTGACTCTTTGGCCAATGCTCATACTCCCCCTTTCACTCTCAATTTACATACGAGACAACTTTTACTGCAAGATCAATGACAAATTAAATCACTGCGGTCTAAGATTAAAGTTCTCTATAGATTCAACGTCAAATTAAATCTAACAACGTCAAAAAATTACTAAACCAATAAATGTTGGACAATAAAAGTTTTTTAACAGCAAAGGTCTTTCGCTTTAAGTAATCCGAAAATGTCTTTGTTGCATAGATTATCATGAATAAAACTTTTCATTGTATGGAAAACACATCATGGAACACCAAATTGTTACCAGCATATTAACTTAACCCCCACAGACATATTGATTGGTTGTTTTAATGAGGAAGATACTATTATCACAACGACAATGAAAAAGAATGTCAGCATGCATAATGTATAAGTTTCATTTAATACAAAAGTTGAATGGTCAGAAGGAATGAGAATTTTATTGGTGTGTCAACACAATTCAGCATGATTTGACAAAATATCATCCAATAAGAAAAGACCAGATAGAAATTTTGTAATTAAAGTTAATCCAATGTCAGGGGAGGCAAAATTACAAAGCTTAGAACAATCAGAGCAAGGAAGTGTCCCTTCTCCAGTAGGCAACACCTCCTCTACTCCCACCCCTACTGCCCCAAACTCAAACAACTTGATAAGGGAAGATAGAGAAGACATGCTAGAATTCAAGTTGCAATTACAAGGGGCAAACTTTGCACAGAAAAATCAATCTTGGGCATATGTCAATTACCAGCAACCATTGTCTGTTCAATTTATTTATTCAACAGTAACACTATTATTGGGCCAAACCAATCTTAACTTTTCCCAAGGTAGCTACCCCTTCAAAATGTGACAAAGCAAACATTGAGAGGGGAGGGAATTCTAGGCAAATTACAAAAATGAATCTTTTGGAAGGTTGGCAAAATCAAGTTACAGAACATACTCATAAAGCTAAAGACACACACAGATGTTATCAACAAAGTACACATCCTATAACAAAATTGAGAATTTTACATGTTGCAAGTGATTAAACTTAAGGCACATAGACGTCATGGAACAAGAGTACCAAGTTGCAGGTAAAGGGTCAAGAAATAAAGCTTACATGAACTTGGTTCTCATTGTAGCATAGAGCTTCTCCAAAGTATCCATGAAGAGTCTTGGACAAGCTACAACATCCTCATATCTAGCCAGAGGAGGTGGATATGGATGATAGTTTAAGGGTGTTTCTTTCATAGGCAATGGACTCTGTTTAAGAGTGGAACATGATGCCATTTCCAACTTCCCACCACCACTTTCCTATGTCATTCCCTGCTCAACCACCAACCCTACACTCCTACCTACTTGCTCTTCGCTACATATCCATAAATGAAGAAATGGATAAACAAATATGTGTCATTTATATATAAGAATGAGTGAACAATATACAGAAAAATTATCAGTTGAAAATCATCAAACAGAGAGCATCTGCAGGGGGAACTACGTAATGTAAATATCATAAAGGAAAATGGGAAGCAAAAAGATAGAAAATTGCCAGAAAAAAATGGTTAAGATTCCTCCCATGCACATAAAAGGTGAGAGAAATCTGAGAAGAGCCAAATTCTAAATAGAAACAGACAAATTATAAAAGTGAGCAAGGTAAAGGAAACAAAGCGACATAGGAAGCTTAAGACCCACTTTTTGGGCCATCTCTGCAAGAGCAAGGTCGCCTGACCACTCATACTTGTTTTGTGGGATCTAGCTCTCAAAGTGTTTGGCTTTTCTTCATCTGGTTCCCAATTGTCTCTTTGGCGACTATTATAGTCTTTCAGATTGTTTTGCAGGTTCCTAGGAGGCTTTTGGTCATACAAAGGGTTATCATCTGTCATTCAATCGCCTTATCAGTAACCCAGCCGTATTATCAATTGGCTTTTCGATCTCCTAGGTGCAACTGACTTATCACTGATAACTTACCGAGTCCTAATAAGGCCATTCAGTTGCCTAATTTGATAAGCCCCTCCACTTCTCATGGACAACTATTTTTTGCATCTCATTCAGCTGCTTTTCTCAATTGGCCTCAATCTCTCAGCTTTTGCTCGCAGCCCATTTAAAGCACTGTTACATTTCTAGGCAGCTGTTATTTTTGGAATGCTGGATTGCTCAAAATAGCTGCTACACGTTGCTGATCTTGGCTCTCTTAGCTACTATTCACGTGACTGTTCAACATTCTAGTACATTTCAGTAGCTTGTTTCATTAGTTAGGAAATTATTTTTTGTTTTTCCATGTAAAATCATGCATTAGAATTTTTTAATTCCTTATCACATTGTAATTAGATTGCATTGAGGGTAAGGTAAATACGTCCCCCTAGCTAGGTTTAATTTAATTTTTAATCAACAAAATTCTCTCGCAAGTTCTCCAAAAAAAAATAAGGGTATATCTAAGTGAAAAAAAATTTGGAATGGAGAATGTAAATTAAACCTTTTCATTCAAAGTTGCAAAAAAAGTAAAATTTCATCAACTCATCTTGCTCCATGATCTTGGTGCCCACTGTAATAGCATAAATTGATAATCAGACGAACTTGAAAAATTTAGAAGAGAGCAAAGGGATACAAACTAAGTGTAGAGCCCCCGTATATATAGCCAATAAAAGTCACAATAAAGATAAAAAGGGAAAAAAGGGAAAACTTAATAAATCATAATAAACTAAGTTGCTATATCTCCAACACTCCCCCTCAAGTTAGGCACAAAAATATCAACTAAGTCAAGCTTGACAATTGAGTCCCGAAGAATGGATAGAGTGACAGATTTGGTGAAAACATCTGTAACCTGATCACTAGTCCCCACAAACGATGGAGTGACAATATCACTACTAACCTTCTCCCGAAGAAAGTGAACATTGATCTCTATATGCTTCGTCCTCTCATGTAATACAGAGTCAGAAGTGAGCTGAATAGCAGATCGATTATCACAATATAATGTAGAGGAAGAAGTCACTGGAAGTCCCAACTCGCCAAGAATCGATTGTAGCCAGATAATCTCACACGTGTCAAGTACTAGTGCCCGATACTCTGCCTATGTTGATGAGCGAGAGACAACTGACTGCTTCTTGCTCTTCCAAGAGATAAGATAAATTCCTCGAAAAACACAGAAACTCATAGTAGATCGACCGTCACATGCTCCCCCATAATCTAAATCTGAATAACATGCTAGAGAACTAATCTAAGATCCTGATGCATAGAACCACCCAAGTCCAAGACAAGACTTGAGGTACCGAAGAATATGATAAAATGCATCAAGATGAAGCTGACATAGTCTGTGCATGAACTGACTAACTCGGCTGACAGCGAATGAAATATCTGGCCTAGTGTTGGCTAGGTAAATAAGTCTACCTACCAACCTCTGATAGACAATCGGATCTCCCAACTCCTCACCTTCAACAATAAGCTTCAGGTTTGAAATCATGGATGATGATGCCGGTTTGTACCCCAGTGTCTGAAAAAAGATCCAGAACATACTTTCTCTGAGAAAGAACAATACCTCTGTTATTACGAGCAACCTTAATCCCAAGAAAGTATCGCAAAAATCTAAGATCCTTCACATCAAAGACTTTTCCAAGGTCTACCTTAACCTGCGCAGTCCCAGAAATATTATCTCCAGTAATAATAATATCATCAACATATATCAAAAGGATGACACACTATCCAGAAGTATTCCATTGAATGAAGCAGGTATGATCAGAATGACATCTGGTGAACCCTAAAAGTACAACTACATCACTAAAGCGAGAAAGCTAGGCTCGTGCTGACTGTTTCAGTCCATAAAGAGACTTACGCAGTCGACAAATCTTTTCAGCATACTCCCCCTCACCACAAAAGCCCGGTGGTGCATCCATATAAGTAATCTCGTCCAAATCACCGTGAAGAAATGCATTCTTCACATCCAACTGATAAAGAGGCCACGAGTATTCCGCAGCCAGAGAAATAATCAGTCAAACAGTAGTCAATTTTACCACGAGACAAAGGTAGCACCAAAATCACGACCTGGTACTTGAGTAAAGCCCTTCACCACAAGCCTAACCTTGTGACGATCAATAGTACCATCCGTAAGAAACTTAAGGGTGTAAACCCAACGACAGCCAACAGGCTTCACCCCTGAAGGTAAAGAGACAAGATCCTACGTATGATTACGCTGAAGAGCGTCCATCTCTATTTGCATGGCAAGAACCCACTGGGGCTCCCGCATAGCCTCTAAAACAGAGCAAGGAATCAGCGTATTTGATAAAGCCATACTATATGTTCGAAATGTAGGAGACAGATTACCATAAAAAATATAAACAGAGATCGGATATAAAATACTGACGGTCTAACCATAACGAACAACTGGACGATGATCACGTCGCGAATAACGACGCCCTCAATCAGCATCCTCCATTGATAATGTCTCATCAGGTAAAACAATTGGCTCAGTACCTGCAATCTTATCAGTACTAACAATAGGTGCATCAATATGTTCAACGAACTGAGAAGTATTATCTGCATCGCCTGAGGTAGAGGGGACATCAGCAAGGGGATGAAAGCGAGAACGACAAACATAAACCTACAAAGAATGAGAGACTGGTGACTCTGTATTGACAGGGATGAGTGGCTCTGAAGGAGGAGAGACCAATGACTCTGTAGTGATAATGACCAATGGCTCTGACTCCAGTAGTAATGAAAAATCAAAGGGAGTATCATCAACTAGATGGGCAGACACAGGACTGGAAGAAAAAAAAAGAATATGCTCAAGGAAGGTAACATCTAGACTGTGATACATACGTCGCCTGACAAGATCATAACATCGATACCCCTTAGACTGATGATAATAGCCCACAAAGACACAATAAATCGTTTTATCATCAAGTTTATGACAAGTAGGAGACCGATCTTGAACAAAATATGTGTAGTCAAAAACACGAGAAGGGATCAAAAAAAGTGTCAGCTTAGGGAATAAGACCTGTAAGGGAGCCCTATGCTGAAGAACACGACTCGGTGTACGATTGCACAAAAAGGTAGAAGTCAAAATAGCAAAATGCCAATAAGATTTTGATACCCCTATACCTCTAAGCATACAACGTACCATCCCTATCAAACTCCTATTTTTTCTTTCAACAACTCCATTTTGTGTAGGAGTATATGGACAAGTGAGCTGCTGAAGGATACCCTGAGAAAAAAGGTGAGCCACTAAGGTATCAGACACATATTCTTTGACATTATCCAAACGAAGAGTACAAACAATGACATTGAACTGTGTCTTAATCATCTGAAGAAATTGAGTAATAACAGGGAGTACATCAGACTTTCTATGCAAAAGGTAGACCCAAGTACAACGGGTATGGTAATCTATAAATGTCACATAGTATCGGACACTTGATAGAGTAGTAACAGGAGAGGGTCCCCAAATATCCAAGTGTATTAGGTCAAATGGTTTGAGTGACTGGTGCATGCGAGGAATATAACTGGTCCAAACATGTTTTGATAGGGAACATATAACACAGTCAAGTTTACCACTAACACAAGCTTTGCTCAAAGCAGGAAATAACATACATAAATATTTAAAATTTGTATGCCCAAAATGATCATGCCATAACTGAACAGTTTGTGATGAAAAATCATAATAACAAGTATTAGGTAAAATACTAGCATGTAAGCTAGGAACAGATAAAGGCAATAGGTGATGGAGATAGAGGTGGAGAAACTGGTGAAACGGGAGGTGGATCGCCTAAATAATACAATCCATCTCTCTCATGTCCCCTGATAATAATCCTCTTAGTACTCAGGTCCTTCGAATAACACGAATCAGATAAGAACACAACCGCACAGTGAAAATCTCTGGCTAACTGATATACAGATAATAGATTCATGACCAGCTTTGACGCATGAAACACCAAACGTAATGTAAAGCCATCTGGGAGGCGGACTGTGTCCCTACTAACAATAGCGGATCTGCTAACTGAACTTGAGTATGTAACTGCTCGTCAAAAGAGGTGAAATGATGGGTCTCACCTATCATATGACCATTAGTACCCGAGTCTAACATCCAAAGAGGAGATGAACTGGCGCAAGTATGAAAGACACGAGGTATACCTGTAGTAATGACAGTAGTAGTAGATGAACCTTGAGAAGTCAAGGCTGATATAAGTATATTCAAGCGAGAAGTGATAACATCCATATCACTCTGTCAAAGAGGAGCAGTAGCAGTAGTAGTAGGAGCAATGATTTTAGGTGGTGGTGCCTTAGCAATGATAGCAGTATGGCTG